GATTTGAAAATAAGTCTTAAAAGCAGTTAGGACGTTGGACAAACACCTAGTAGAGAAACACTTATGGCATTCGAGGAACACAGGGACCCCGCCACCCCCTCCCCCCGAAGTAAGCAGGTAGCTGGTCTCTATCCAGATCACAGGAAGACCTTGCCTTTACATTTTGTTAGCTCATTTCCTTGTTTCTTTGCTCAGGGTCTGGGAACATCTGGTGGCGAGAATGCGGGGCTGTTGTTTTAAAGTGGGAAAGAAAATAACCCCAGAAAATGAAGGCGGTCTGGAGGAAGGAGAGTATCCTGTCTGCTAGAGCACTGTGCAAAGGGAACTTCCTAGAAAGTCCTCCCTTGGCGGTGTTACTTAATAAGCGAAGCAGTGGCACTCCCCACCCCAAATAAAGTGTGCGCCTGGCTCCCGTAGGTTTATCAGGGCCCTGGAGTTGTGGCTAGCAAACAGGGTTTGACTGATTTCTAGAACGTCGTTTCGATCCCTTTAAAGGTGGGGATCATGACGGAGGATGCGGGGGAAGAAGGCGGGAGCCAAGGGTTGGAGAGTCGCGGTTGACATAGTAACTCTTCGGCAGCTCTCCCTGGTTTGGGCTCCCACTGCTGCTGCCTGAGGCCCCGCCTGTGCCCTCTCTGCCCGGGAGCCCGGCCGCCTGCGCCAGGTCAAGGTCCCCTTTGTGGTTGCCCCCCAACCCGCTAAGTAGTGACTTCCACCCGGGCCATCTGGAACGCCACTCGCAGATCCCAGCCTGCCAGGCGTCCGCATCCCTTCCCTCGTCCTATCCCCTGGGCATCCTTTGCTCTGGACCAGTTTGGCAGGTGCCCCGGCCCCTCTTCCCAGGTCCGCTTCCCCGGAGCAGGGCGCAGGCCAGTCCCGTGCGGGTGTCATGAGCCAGAGCACTGCGTTCATGGCCCGGAGGGGCGGCTCTCCGCCAGTTGCTGGAGCCGGAGCGCGGCGCAACGAGAGCCAGGACTATCTGCTGATGGAAGCCGCCGAGCTAGGAGATGAAGGCTGCCCGCAGTTCCCGCTGCCGCCCTACGGTTACTACCCCAGCTTGTAAGTGTGGGCACTGGCTGCGCCGGCTGCAGGAGGGGTCTGGGCGCGTCCCACCCGCATGCCTCTCCTTGGACCAGTACCGGTGGGACAGTGCCAGGCAGCGCAGGGGCACGCGCAGGACTGGGCTAGCTGCTGGTGGGCACGCAGGGGTACACTTGTCCACCGGTGAACCGGCGGGGTTCCCACCTCACCACAGGTGATGGGGTGCCTGGGCACTGCAGGTGATGGATGGGATGCTTTGGCGCACCGCGGGCGATCCGATACCAGATCAATTTTTTGAGTCCTTGGCACCCTGCGGCGCTGCGCAACAGGCATGATCTGAACTCCGAGCTGATTCCAGTGTACCCGGGTGGGGAAGATGACCAGAACTCTAGGGTTTGGGGAGCCACTTTTGGGGTGTGCAGAAAATTCGGGAACCCGCATACAGAGCAATCTCCAGGCTGTGCCTGTCTTAGCCCTTTTGGTCATCAGGAGAGGAGCTGGAGAGTGGGGAAGTTCCAAAGAGATCTTGGAAGGGGCCAGACCTGTCCCTTATATCCTGGACAACCTTCCTCTCACCCTGGACTCAGGGTTAAGAAAAGGACACAGAACCATTCAGGCTTCTGTTCCTGTGGCAGTTAGAGGGTGAGCCTTCTGGGGGGCAGAAAGCTGTAGAAGTGAAAGCTCCTTAGTAGTGGCCTCAGAATAACTAGGAACCCTTATTTAAGCACTTAGGGTGCTGCAGGGATGGTAGGGAAGGACAGAGGTGGAATGGAGAATCAGAGTCCCCATGTCTCCCCCAGGCTGTGACCACACATGCAGCCTGCAGATAGTGTTTCTGACTCTTTGCAGCTTTGTTTAATCTTTGCTCCACTGGGCACTCAGGTTTCCTGTCCTGCCACATCCATCCAAGATCTGTTTCCTAAGAAAGCCTTTCTCAGTTCTGTTAGCCCTTCTCCGAGGTGGAGGGCTGGTTCTGTCCCCATGAGGCCTAGCAGACACCCCCACCCACCCCAGGTTTGCTTTTGGGACAGTGATCAGGGCTGAAAGAGTCAAAGACTATTGTGGTTTCTTTGCTCAGTGAGAACTGAGCCCCAGGAAATGGGGCATCTATTTTTTTTTCTCCAGGATTAAAGAAAAAAACTGGGAACTGGCTCTGTTTAGCTGTGTGCTATGCTAGTTGAAATAATTTACTAAAATTTATCTTCTTTTCCTTTGTGAAAATTTAAGATATAATTTATAATTCACACACCATAAAATTCAGGCACTTAAGTTGTTCAGTGTGGTGTTGTGTATGTGATGTCCTCTAGGTTTTGTAGCCACTATCAATGTATCATTTCAGGACACTTTCATCAATGTAATACTTGATGTCAAATTAGAAAAATCTCTCTCTCTCGTGTGTGTGTGTGTGTGTGTGTGTGTGTGTGTGTGTGCCTGCCCATGCATTGGTATGTGGAGGTCAGAGGTCAACATAGGGCACCTTCCCTATAGCTCTCCATCTTACTTTCTGAGACAGGTTCTCTCACTAAAGGAGCTTGTCATTTTGGTTACACTGGCAGGCTATGCCACAGAGCCAGGTTTTTACATGGGTCCTGGGGATCTGAACTCAGGTCTTCCATCTTGTGCAGCAAGCACACCGCCCACTGAACCACTCCCCAGCCCTAGAAAAATCCTTCTATGTCTCATAGGACAGACTTAGACTTCTCACACTTAGATGGATTTTCTGAATCTGCAGGTCTTCAGAGCAGGTAGAAAGCCTCATCTCTCACCATCTTGGATGATACTGCAGTTGGTTGTTCATGGGGTAGATACCAAAAGCAAGATCTAGGGCACAAAAAATAATAATAGGGGGAAAAAAAAACCAGTCCTGAGGAGTCCGAATGCAGCTGTTCTCAGGTGGTCCACATTATGCCTCTAATACTTGGAGGCTGAGGCAGGAAGATCATGAGTTGGGAGACCAGCCTGGGTAACAGTGAGAATTTGTGTAAAAACATGAATTGTTATGAAGACAGACATTTAAAATACAGATGAGCCTTTTTGTTGTCTTTGAGTTGAGTTCTACCAAGCTTGAAGACTCTGTTTAGTAACATTACCTGCTAGCTAAACTGAGGTAAAATAGCTGTTGTGCCTCTTCAGAAGATTAGGTTGTCTTATTAACAAAACCTTTCTTACTCTACAATTTCTAATATCACTTATTTCTTTGTATGTGGGAAAATGATTCGCTTAAAAAACTTGTGGTTCTAGATTAGTAGTGAGAGAAAATAAAGTTAGAATTCCAAATTGTCCTGAAAACTGTTTGGAATGCTTTCTTTAAATGTGGCTGGCTGCCTAAATTGTAAAGATTATTATTTTTTATTATCCACTACTGAGGTTGTTTTTGTTTTTGTTTTTTTCTCCTTCAGTTCAGGAATCCCAGACTACTCTTAACACAGCTGAGCAACAAGATGGATGGAAATATTTTAATGGGCTTCAATTCGTGACTGGCACCTCTTGTGTCATGATGAAGGACCTGTGATAAATTTGAGAGTGAACTATATGCCAGAATTAAAGCTTTACTTTATATAAATCTATTATTTCCAAGAGTTCACAGTTACTTTTCATCTATTATTTTCTCAGGCAGTTTTTAGTTTCTACAATTGATCAAAAAAGTTAACTGAAAAGTTTAGCCAATAAACAGCAGTATTTCCACATCTAAGATGTAGGAGAAAATGCTAAAGAAAATTACTTCCCTTTGGTATAGAATGCAAATCAACACTTCATAGGCTTTTAAATTCATGACCGACGCAATTTTGTGCATTTTTTTCTGAGTGGGAGGCATATTAGTGGCAGTCCCTGGTGTGTTTTGGGCACAGGGTTGCTATTTTCTCAAATCACTGAGGTTTCCTTTAGACAATTCCAAATCTTTGTATGTTGCCATTTTTGTGATACAAATTTACTTACCCTTGCTAAAAATTCTTCTTTCACATTTCCTTTCTTTAGAAAGAAGATTTTTACATTTATTTTTGGAGTTTCTACGTCTGAGGATAGTGGAAAATTACTGTGTAAGAGCAGTTGCGTATTCTCTGGCCTTAAGAGTATATGTTAATATTTTGAAAATAGTGTTTGGAAAAAACAGATTTCCATTTTGTTTTTTTTCCAACTTCTGATTAGAACTAGATCACTATATTGTCTTATAATCAATTTTGAAGGATTAATGATAAGAAAGGCCCATGTCCTTTCAAGGCCTCTGGAGTTCCTTTACCTAAAATAAGAAAGAAATATGCCTCTAGTCTATAATGTTTGTACATGAGGAAGAATTTCAGAAACATACACATATGCTAAAAGTGTCTAAAGTAGCACAGACTCATTAATGTAGTTCAACTGATTGTTGAACTTTTAGTATTACTAATTATTCAGATTATGAGTGATAAAATAATAAACTGAAAGTTAAAGCTCTAGGTTATGCAGTGGAGTAAAATAAATCTAAAAAAAAAAAACAACAAAAAACTTATAGTAGCACAAGCTGGCAAGATTGCTCAGTGGGTATAGACACTTGCCATTACCCAAGTTTCATCCCCAGGACTGGCATTGTGGAAGCTGTCCTCTGACCTCCACACCTTGTGCAGTGCCGTCTAAAACATTAGTAATTTGGGAGGCTGGGGTACAGCTCTGTGCTGGGTTCTGTCAACAATAAACAAAACCAAACAACAATTATAAGGCACTGCCATGTGCCAGTAACAGAAGCCAAAGAATAAAGAGAACAGTTTCCAGTGAGGCAGAGCTGGAACAGAGAGAACGCTTGCCTGGAACCAGGGCTGTTACTGTACTGAAGAAAAATTAGGTGGGAAAATTATGCCCACCAGCATAGGGTCAGAACAAAAACTTTACCAGTGAGAAGACATCATCCCCTAGATTTCCAATTTGGGGCCCACATGCCAGGTGAGTGTTTATGTTTTAGACAACCTAATTGACCTAGGAATGCTCAAGTCATGGGGCTTCTAGTGGAGTGAAACACAAAACCATGATGTAAGAGCAGTCCCAAACTATGTTGAGTGCTTAGGCACCTCATCAAAGAGCAAGCCTCCTAAAGGTGGGTCCACTACAGCCAGTGAGCAAGCACAGGTGTAAACAGTTAAGTAAGGAAGTGAGCGAACAGTGAAATCCATGTGTGAGTTAACAGACAACAGCAGTGTGAAATCATTAGGAGCCAGTGATAATACAATAGCATACAAGAATACAAAGTCAGCATGTAAAAGTGTTCACAACATGAAGATATAAAGCCCCAAGGAAAGAACAAGATATAAAGAGTGGACACATAGAACATCTAATAAAAACAGTGCAAGTCTTGAAGAAAAGTTGACCACAATTAGTTATTTGTTGTATGTTTGTGCATGTGGAAGTCAGAGGGCTACCTGTAAAGTTGGTTCAGCTCTTCTCACCTTCCACCATGTGGGACCTGGGGTTTGAATTCAGGCTGTCAGCCTTGGTGGCTGGGGTCTTGACTCACTGAGCCATCTCACTGGCCCCCCAAATAATGTAATACTTGAAGAAAATAATTAACGAAAGAGTTAAAATGCAGGTTAACCATAATATAACTGATGCTATTATCTAAAATTTGGAGACATAAAGAAATAGAAAAAATAAACATGATTAAGAGTCATCGAATGAGAAAGTAGATGTTCCAGAGGAAGGTAAAAAGAAGAGGGAGGTGATAACTTTGAATAGACAACGGGCAATGATTTTCTAGAAATGAAATCTTCTCATGCTTATAAATTACAGCAATATTAGCGTGGTACATAAAAACAGACAATTCAAGCATGCCACTTCAAGTCCATAAGACCATAAAGACAAAAGGAAGTGTTAAAAATTAACCAAAATACAGGGACTTGAAGGAGTGTAAAATTTTAAATATTTATGATAGAAACGCGCCCACAATGTATTTTGATCCATAGGTTCTGTAATGTGTGGTTTATAAGAACTATGGTATTTCTTTTACAGAAAAGAGAGTGTTTTCTCTCTACTTGTTAATGTGGTATTTTCAT